ATTTCATTTTATTAAAATACTTTTATTTTAATGAGACATGGGAATACTAAAAAGGTACTATTTGATTATAAACAGTTGAAAATTCAAAATTAGAATGTTCTTTTCTCAGTTGTATGAATATGAAAATAGGAACAAACACTGCTTTTTTGGATATATCAATCACATGTGTTCTCATCTCAATTACTAACAGAAACACAGCTGCCCTAGGATTAGGATTAATATTTCCAAACACATAACGTCAAATCAAAGAAACTTTTGCTTCTATATAATGCAGAGTCAAGATCCCAGGATCCCAAGCAAATCTACTTCACCTTAACAAGCCACATATACTGACATACATACTACATACATACATACATATGTGCGTGTGCATATATATATATATATATCAAGAGTTCTCATTTTTTCACAAAGTTGGATTAAGTTGAATGTATTTAAGTAATATAAAGAGAAATTATATAAAAATAAAAGTTTAATTCCATGTGTTAATCCATCAATTAGCAAACCTTGGATAAAACATACCTACATATTTTATTCAAATAATACAATTAATTTCATTTTTACAATTTATTTAATGTCATAATTTAAACTTATAGTGTTGTCTTCTCTTTATTAGAATTTGATTTTTCTTTTGGTTTTTGTTACAAGTCTTCACGTAACTTGATACATAACTAAGGATGACTTGGAAGTCTTGTCCCTACTGCTTCCACCTCTCAAATACTGGGATTATACTTATGTGTCACCACTGCAAGATTTAATTTAGTTTATAACTTCAAACCAGTTCCCACCACTCTTCAGAAAGAGAAAATAATAAAATACCCATAAAAATGTAGAATGCATTCTGAATAAAAGAAGAATCATTAAAGACATTTACTCACAAATGTAAAGATGTATAGGGAAGTCAACTGATCTAGCAGGAAACATGACAAAGTAGCTCAGAAGAAATCAAAGTAGTATTTCATTACTCACTATTCCAAAATTGTCAATAATTTTGATCTGAGCATATATCTATGGCTGAATTTTTCAGGGTAACCTGTTTATATTTACACATAGCCATAATGTGTAGTAAAAAATGATGGTAAAGCTCCATGTCTAGTTTTGATAATAAGTGAAGATTTTAGCAAATATATGGACTGTTCAAATATCATGCTTCTCCAAATAATCTCACAAGAGTCTACAAGAATCATTGAAAGGTTTTTTTCTCCTTTTTTTTAAAAAAAAAATATATTTTCTCTCTTTTTGAACATATAACACACAGAATAAACATTGCTATGCAATATTACAATGCTCTAGGGGATTCAGTTAAAATACATCGATTTCACATTTACTCATAAAATGTAAATAGCCAGGAAAAGCTATTTTCTAAGGAGTGGTTGCTCAGCAAGTGTTCAGAGCAGCCTATGGAGTGTGTCCGGACCTGTCCAAGGTGCTGAAAGGGTTTCTAGGAAAAGGCTGCAGACTTGTTGGCATGCATGTCATTAACCTAGTGAGTTTGAGACCCAATGATTTTAGTTCTAAACCAGTGATCCCTCAAAATGGAAACTCGACTACACAAATGACAAAAATATCCACAGCTGACAATTCAATATGCAATTACATGGAAGTAACAGAGAAATTAAAGGAGAAAATTCCCTGCACTCTGTAAGGCAAGAGCACAAACCATACACAAGAAAGATGACACACCTAAGCCCTCTGAAAATCACAATAAAGAGTCAAATAACTCAGAACAAATCCTCATCAGAGGAAGGAGATGAACTTGGAGCTAGGCATGCTCTTGGGGCTGCTCTAGACAGACAACCTGCTGCTAGCTCTAGGAAAACTGGTGATTATTAGCCCACTCCTTAAGCAACTCAAACAATAGAACACAAGGTTCGGAATGGGAATGAGAATGGAAAGGAAAGGAAAAGATGAATCCACTTTTAATCTGACCAATACCAATTTCTTATGAAGATATAAATTGGTGCCCAGTACTCCTGGCTTGCCTGGATACTTGAACTGGTTCAGTTGAAGCAATACCAGGGTTCTGACTAAATAAAGACAAACATCTGTGATCCCCTCCTTAAGTCTGTTTTCCAACTTCATGTGCTCTAGAGAGAAATGAGAACAACCACAAATTGCAAAACTAGGTGGAGAGAACCCTCTAGGCTGGCAGTCACTTCCCACTGAGAAGTCCAATGTGTGGGTTAGACTAAGAACACCGGCTAGTATTTGCCTTGGTAGGACTGTCCTGGTTTGTTGTCATTTAGTCCCTGTAGTCTACATTCCCTCCTCTGAACACTGCTCTGCTGCCCGGGCATAGCTTTGTGTCTGGAACGAAAGAGAAGCTCCATCCAAAGGAAAAGAAAGCGCATGGGGGCTTAAAGTGACATTCAGAGAGAGGCAAGGAAGCCCAAGATGTGATTTCAGCACCTCCCGCCGTTCCCCCTCTCCCTACCTCAAGCAAAGCGGCTGCTGGAGGAGAACCCAGTCTATCCATAAGTGTTTCTCCTTCCTTCCTTTCTCTACCTTTGCTTTCTCAGTTTTTAGTCCTCTGATGGCTTGGTTAAGTCAGTCTGCATTCTAAATCATTTTCCTGTTGTCTCAAAACTCAGGCATAGGGATCCAAAGGCATGCATAATCTTTATCTCAGCCCATGCATCTCTCCCCAGCATTACCCTCCTGCTCGCGCCTTTTCTACCAACAGGTTTAATTAATGATAGCCTCCCATAAAAGAAGCAGTTGTGAACCTCCTCAGCTCCGGTCACCCTCCCTCCACCTGCATCCCCTCCTCCAAAACACACTGTGAGCAGCTCAGCATCCTAAATCCTTCTCAGGTCTGGGGATACCTGGGCACACAGACATAGCAAGCTTACCCCCTGTTGGCCCCGGCCCCGCAGCAGGCAGTGAGGTGGTGTCTAGCTAGCCCCCCGGAGTAAAGTTGAGCAGCTGGGATCATCGGGGTTGAGCCAGGTTTCTGAGTCCCGGGCTTTCCCCCATCCCAAGATGATCTCAGGCTCATCCCCTGTGCTCAGAACAGCCGAGCTGAGGGCGGTGTGTGCAGCAATCTTCCCCTCTACCAAGAAAGGGGGGAAGGGGAGCAGGGGAGAGAGCGGAGGAGGGAGGGGTGGTAGTTAGTATTTATAGAGGAAAGACTTCTCTGCGCAACTTTTTGGTGCCACCAAGTGGCACAGTGAGTTCCTTTAGGAACACAGACTACTGGGCAGATCAGGGTGGGTAGACTAGTTCCAAGGCCAGATACTCATGCTGGTGGGAGAACTGGAGGCACCCGGAGAGCGGTTTGTGAATACTCACCTTGCAGGATTTGCAATGCAAATCTCCGAATTCTAAAATTTAATCTCTATTCAGGGAGGAGGGATGGACAGGTCTTCTTCAGTCAGTTAAAGAGGCATTAAGACATGGTAGGTGCTAGCTGGCCCCTGGGAGTATAGATAAGTATGTCCTAGGACAAAGTTCCCTTCTCTCTTTCCTCTCTGCCTCCTCTGCTTATATTACAGAGCATTCCTGTCTCATCCCCATGCCCTCTTTTGACACACCAAATGACCAACCTTGAAATCAGGGTGTCATTTTCCTTGTCACAATCCATTCTAGATAACTTCTCAAATCCTCAGTAAAAATTAAAACTTCGTAGCATGTCACGGAAATATATTATTGAAGTGCTATTTAACAGCGCAACAAAATATACAAAACACTAAAAATGTATGGCAAGTTCTGTGCATCTGAACCTCTCCAAACAGCTCTCAGAACTCCAGAATCTTCACATGGTGACTGAATTTTTGGCTGGCCTCACCCTTTCCCACCAACCTTTCAGCATGCATCCTGGCAACAACTGTCAGAATTTTGCAACCATTTATGATACTTTGGGGTAAAACACCTTCACAATCCTTTTGTCTGTATGTCCTGACAGTCCTCCCTTCTCCCTTTGCCTGTGCAATTCTCCAATCCTATACAAACACACACTATTCCTTGAGACATCAGTGTCCCACCTGCAGTAATACTCTCTACAGTTTCCTGATGGAGAGAAGGAGTATCCAGTGCTTGATGGACTTGTTCAAGGTCACATATTTCCCTAGACAATGACCTCAGGGCTTCTCAGAGTGTGACTGAATGAACATTGATACTAAATCTGACAGCCAGAACTAGTCTTGCTATATTACCCACATAGCTCACTGAGTCTATTCAACTCCCTTTCTCTTTTCTCTTGGTCTCCACGGTCTCTGTTATCATCCTTTGTGAAAGTTCTACCAGAAAATTTAGGATAAAAAAAATTATATCTTTCTTGCACTGCTAGAAACACATAAACTTGGTTTTAAAGGTCCAGATGTGCTGATGTACCTCTTAAATGGGTCGATGATTCTAGAAAACCTCTCGTTCTTGGTACTGTAGTCATGCAAGTGTCATTTTAGAATTGTAATAGTGGTATTCAAAACCACCCATAATCTCCTTTCTTCCCTCGTTTTGGGGTGCAGCATCAGCAAGTGTTCTTATTAGCCCCCCACACATCTAATATGCTTAGCGATCTAAAATCCCCTTCTCTCGCTAAATGCATGCTTTATCATTGCACATGCACCAGCATGAGACGGGGGAGGGGGGGCTTCATTTGGCTCTTTTTTTTTTTTCCCTGCCTCTGATTATTTTAGTTATTTTTCTATGGAAACAAGCCCACTGAAATCCTTCAGTTACGCAAATGAAAACAAAAAGATGTTCCGAAACCTCCCATTCAGCTATACCAGAGAAGCTCAGGCTTCTTACTCTAAATTCATGTCTAATTTACAGGGCACATGTCCTTGCAGGGTGACTTTCCTAAACTTACAGGACCTCCTAGCATCCCTGGCTCCACCTGTCCTCCACCTGCCCACTACCTGCCCTCCTGGGTCCCTTTAGTCCAAGCTCCCGCCCCTTGCTCGCTCACTCTCCATCCCTGTGCTGGGGGAGGGGCTCCGGCGGCATCCTACAGCCCTGGTAACTACAGCTGAGAGAAAGAAAAACCGCGCTGTTCTTACCAGGTGCGCGCCCTGAGCCTTGTTCCCCTGGCCAGCCGCTCCTTACAAGCTCCCTGCGCTTTCGTAGCGGCCTTGGCTGCTGCTAAAGCGCTAGTGGCTGCGATCGAAGCAGTAGTGGCAGCCAGCAGAACGGCTGCGGGCCCTCGGCGGTGGCGCTCGCTCTCTCGCGCCAGCGCCTGGAGCACGTGCTGCGCCCAGGCAGACGCAGCTGGAAGCGCAGCGCTGGACTGGCTCCTACTCCTGCAGAGTGCGGCTCGGGGCCGCTGGCTCGCCTGGGCTCTGTGAATGAGCACTGCTCCTAAAGCCTCGTGGGCTCAGGGTTCAGGCCAGGGTAGCCCTGGACTTCCTCTCTAGCTCATTCCCACCCAGAGATGGAGAAGCAGAGCTGTACCGGGAGGCGTGGGTGGTGGCATGTCACTCAGAGAAAAGATGGGGGAGCAGGTAGAGAATCAGCCTCTCTCTGAAGATAGTACTGACTGAAACTCCTGACAGTGATTGGGAGAAGGGGTGTCATCATTGCTGGAAGGCAGAAAGGAGAGAGGGAGGAAAGGAGAGAGAGAAAGAGAGAGAGAGAGAGAGAGAGAGAGAGAGAGAGAGAGAGAGAGAGAGAGCCCAAAGCAGAGAGACAGAGACATAAAGAGACATAAGAAAAACGGGGGGGGGGGGGGGAGAGAGAGAGAGAGAGAGAGAGAGAGA